CCCCAAAACCCCAAAACCCCAAAACCCCAAAACCCCAAAACCCCAAAACCCCAAAACCCCAATAATATTCAAACTATTGTTCAATATAATAAATTCTCTTCAAGTAAAATGGTATTTCACTTGCTGTTAAGTACTTTCATTAGTCAAGCCATTCTGTCCTTGTTCCATCTTCCCATTTACCCTGCCTTTTTTGACCATCAACAGCAATATAATACCCAAATCCGTGTTGTTTTCCATTTTTCCAACCACCATCATACTTACGCCCATCTGGCCATGTGAAGACTCCTTTTCCTTCTTTTTTGTCTTCTACATATTGGCCTTCATATCTCCTTCCATCAGGCCATTGGAATACTCCTGAACCATGCATCTTATTAGCTTTCCATGAGCCTGTATAGTTTCTTTTATCACTCCAAGTATAGCTGCCTTCACCTTCGATATTATTCTGTTTAAAGTTTCCATTGTAAACAGATCCATCAACCCATTTGAAAACTCCATAGCCATGTTTCTTCCCATCCATATATTTTCCTTCATAAATAGCGCCGTCAGGCCAAGTCTCTTTTCCAGAGCCACTCTGTTTGTCTTCCACCCACTGTCCTTCGTAGCACCCTCCATCCAAATGCTGGTAAGTGCCGTGCCCATGTGCCTTGTCTTCGACCCAGTCTCCTTCGTAGACGTCTCCGTCACCGTGGATGAGTCTGCCTTTGCCGTTGGCTTTGTCGTTCTTCCAGAATCCTTCGTACTGGCTTCCATCAGGCCAGACTTGGACGCCCTTGCCGTCCTTGGTGTTGTGGAGTGAGTTCCACTGGCCTTTGTACTTGATTCCACTTGAGAAGACCACCCAATCTTTTTCGATGCGGCGGACTCCGTCATCAGGGATAGCTTCATATTTGTAAGGACCGAGTTTATTTGAGAACGGATAAAGATACTTCATTCATTGTTATGTCATCAGCTGATTGATTATTAACAGGAACACTTTCAAGGAAAGTATTTGGTTGACTCTAGATGGTGAACTATTAAAATTACTTCTGATTGCTCTACTGGTAATCCTCAAGGAACTTTAGCATTACTAACCGCACCTTTACTCCTAACTTCAACTTGTTCCTCATTATTATTATACTCAGCATCATTCTGTATAGAAGAAATATTAACTTCAGCCTTGTCTTTCTTAGAGTCAATACAATTACATGTATTTCCCATCTTTTCTTTTTAAAATTTATTTTTCTAGCTTAACTCTGGTGGAAGGGGTTTTGGGGTTTTGGGGTTTTGGGGTTTTGGGGTTTTGGGG